TCTCACAAACAGAAATGAAGTGTTTCTGACAAGTGCACTGACTCTCAAGGCTGAGCATCTGTGGTGAAAAAACTGCAGTCAGTGCTATCTGCAGCAGTTTTGCATATATGTGCATCTTGCATGCGGCATTTTACTTTGTCATTTATTTTGGTGACATTTACAGAAGATCAAATTAGCATGGTGAAAAAGGATCTTGAGTTTTGTAAATTATTTTGGCTAAGCACAATGTCTGGTTCCTACTGGTTTGCAAATAATGATGAATCTGGATTATAACAGACTAAGCTTTACTTCCTCTGTATATGTGTTGTGGATGAAGGTATAGCAGCAAAGAAATCCAATACTGCAAAACTAAAAGTCAATTTTTCTGAACTGATAACTGAAAGCAGGAAGCCTAAACACCACAGATCAGGTTATTGAACATTTGCTATCATGCTGTAAGAAATATACAAAGCTCTGTAACAAATGTCACAGACGAAATCGCAAAATACAGGACAAATTAGTGTTTGGGTGGTCTCTTTCACCATTAGGCCAGTCACTTAAAAATGGTGTCTTTCACCATCAAACCATTCACACCTTTTGCCGATAGTCAGTCTACTATCCTTGACTCTTTACTCCATTTTGGCTGTACATCTATTTTTCTAGAAATGTACTTAAGAATAGAAGGTTGCTGGTGCTCTCTGAGAGAAAGTTTATCAATATTTTTGTATTGAGAAGTGGAAAAAAAGGAAAGAAAAATAAATTATAACCATAAAAAGTCCCCACTGTTACTCTTCTTCTAGTGTCAAATACAGGCAATGGACAAAGTTATTTAGATAATTCATGAATAACATAGAGACAACTTAAAATTTGAAAGCCTTGAAGGTTTAAAGCAAATCCTTCATATGGATTTTTAAAAGGAATGCTTAAAAAAGCTAGGAAGCAGGAAGAAGTACTGGAGCAGTACTTGTGGCAACACAAGCTTCATGAACAAACCATATCAGTATGGTCAAATTCAAGTAACTAACACAGAAACTTTCAATTTACAGCAGTAAAGTAAACTGTTAGAACGTAGGGATTTTCCTGCAATGAAACTAGGAGCTATTTTCAGCTATACTGAGAAGAAAAACCCCTCAATTTAAATAAGTAGTTGCATCCAAGTCCACAACACAAAGATGAAATTACATCACTGCTAACAGCTCCAACCTAATGGCAGGGAGTAATTATGACAGGTACTTTACAGTACAATGCAGGATCAGCAAGTAACACATAGCTAGATTAATATCAATAATTTAGTAAGCAACTTGGAAACTAGCCTTTTTTTTTTCCATCTACATTTACACAAAGGATTTTTATATTGGAATGCTTAACAGTGTCTACAAGTACCAAGTGTTTAAATATATAAAATACTAATGAATACTTTAACCATATGGTCAACTCAGAATGCATATACAAGTTTATACCTGCAACACTTATCTGAAAATTAATACATTGCCACTAGACTTATTAAATCTTCTTTATAAGTAAGGAATTTTTTTATCTGCATATTAGATTTACAATGAATTACATTTAGATTAAGCCAAAATGAAATAAACCCCCAATTACAACCTATTTTTATATCTCTTAACTCTAAATGCCATATATTCTGCAATTTCACTGAAATATATTTCTAGTTACCAATTTATATTGGTAACTAGAATATTTCTGAAAATAATATCCTAAATACCAGCTGCAAGGATGACTGGACACCAAGACCAAGGACAATACCGATCCTGGGACCTGCCAAAATAGGAATAGAAATATAAGTATGTGCTGTACTGCTTTTTAAAGTGGCTTTTATAAATAGAGTTATGATGGTCAATATTTTAAATTATTTACTCTGCTATGTGTATACCATTAGACAGAAACATAATCCTATCTTCCCTAGATACATGAAGAGTGACAACACTTCAGAGTTTCTTAGCAGCCTTTCATCTCACAGACAACTACAACTGGCCTGTTCTGAGCTACAACAGTCTCACAACAGTAATTCAAGTATGTTAGTTGTATTCTTCAATGAGAAGATTTTGGGGAATTAAAATACTTTTCATATTTCTTAGATGTCCACACTAACTTACTGAATTTTGCAGGCTACCCCCATTGAGTTATTTTCTTCCAAGTACATGGGGTTTGAGAAGCAAATCTTGGAGTTCTGGCACACCTATTTCCTTCCTACTCATCACACTTATCCTCCACACATCCACCTCTTTTATTGCTGAGCTCTCTTATTGCAATTTCCTTTTTCTTCATTATGTGTGATTCTCACAAGTTTCATTTTATGACCTAGGTGTAATGTAGAAGGATTCAAGATGCTTCTGTATTAAGAAAGGGATATACAGTCACTTCTGGTTCTAACTGCAAACAGTAGTAGCTGCAAAATGGGATGAATTAACCTCTTGTTGGTCAAGCATATCTGAATAATAACTGTGATAATTATTCATAATAAAAATATTAGCCTTCAAACACACCACAACACAAAAGACTCTTAACAGAAGAGATCTTTGACAAATTAGGTTGATTATGACGTTTTTTTTCAAATGGGAAAAAAAAAGTAAAGGAACAGACATCAAGTTTCACATTTGAAGAAAAATCCCAAGCCCAGAATCCCAAAATAAATAAATAAACAAACAGAAGGCCATATTTATCTTTGTGCATCAACTTCCTATGCCTTCCAAAATCCTTTTAAAAAAGGTCTCTAGTTTATACAGGGCAGAGGCAACACAGGGGTATTTCTGTAGGACAGGACTGCCTTATTACTTACATGTCTATGACAGTCTGAAACCTGGGTATACAGGGCTTAAATACACCATTTTCAGAGGGTTATTTCAGTGCAGCTGAAACAGTCTGCAAAAATTCATCAGAAAAAATATTTTCGGTCATATTATAGTTCTGCATTTTTTCTGTTAGATGAAATTTCAGGTTGAGTATGTTTCCAAATTAATATATTAACATTCAATTCAGTGGCTAAACCAAACTTGCCTGAAAAGAAAGTTGGCCATGCTCCTTCCCTGCTACACTTGGGAGTATTTTCACAGAAGCAGGGTTACTAGAGGAGACAAATTGAGCCTGAATGCTCCAGAAGTTTGTTTGGCATCACTGTAATGTCTCTTCCATTGTGCCCTGGGTCCTATCTCCCATGAGAAAGAGAAAATGTACCAGGTTCTCTTCTTTCACCTTCTCCCTCTTCGGCCTGCATTCCATAATTGCCAACACAGCACTGAAGGATCACAACCTGCCCATGGGTAGGATAATTTTCAACACAGAAATGTAGCAACACAGAGTTACTTAAAGGCTCTCTTGTTCGCAAAAGAAAAAAGCATATTTGGTTGAAGGAGGGAATGAATATCTATGGACTGTATGTCTATACACAGTTTGAAGTGACACATTCGTATTTTCTTAGTGTTTCTTTCTCATAACTATCTTGTTTTTAAACAATTTCCCTCTCTTGTTTCTAAACACGTTCCCAAGCTGCAAAAAAACCCCAGACTCACCCTAGTGCACCTGAACTCCTCTGATACTATCAAGGTGAAAACATATATTTTTAAACAGCTTCAGTTGACTAAAAGACAAAATCCTGCATTACATTTCTGCAATAAAGAGAACTCAAAGCACATTAATGATGTTTATCTATAAATTTATGTTTTTTCTCTTTGTTCAAAAGACACTACTCATATTATGTAAATAACAGGATTCTTCTTGCACAAAATTATAGAATCATAAAAAACGTTAATTACATCAAGTAATTACAAAAATGTTGACTAGAGCCAGACAAAGAGTAATGAGAAGTGTAATTTTCAGTGTTAAGATAATTTTGAGGAATCACGAGAAAGAACTAAGCACACATTTTATTTTCTTTGGATAGGATCTATACAGTATGGTGAAGGAAGAAATATTTTCATGCTCCTTAAGGAAGTTCTATTCCTTTTCCCCTTGAACAGTATTCAGTCCAAACACTGTCTCTTTACCTAGCACAAAGCCTATCCCATCAATTTCTGTTGTATAACCACTGAAACAGCTTTTTCATAGAAGCATATACAGTAATGTTTTCTTTGCTGCTGCTTAGCATCACACATTGCTGATAGTGTCAGTGTCACTAAACACTAAGATAAAAACAGGAGAAAGATAACTCACAGTCATCAATAGACAGTAACCTTTCATTTGATCACTGCCTATGATAGACAAAAATCACACCATACCACATACATCTGACCTCCACCTTGAACTCTTTAAATCATCGTGGTGCAAAAACACTGTAAACACATTAACAGAAATACAGTTCCCACATAAATGAGTTTAGAAAGCCTGTATGACAGGAAGGTGAGCAGCCATTGCTCTGGCGCAGTTTTTGGTGTGTCCTGAGCACAGCCTTAAGCATCTCACAATGTTTCTTACCACTGGCTGCTGAAAGGCTGGGCCCCTCTCCATTCCCTATTCCATCAGCACAACAGCTTTAATCTTCCACACTAGCACAACTGACAAACAATAGAAAGCACTGAATTTGGAGACTTCCATGTGACTGTGACAAAAGACAAGACAGCAGCAATTGGAAGAACAATGCATCTTAACCACATGCAGAATGGAGCCTCAACCCTTCAATTTAGCTTTTCCCTCAAGTGTCTCACATCTTCAACTATGAACTAATCAAGCTAAAAAGGAAGAAGAAGAGAGATTGTCATTTCTATTTTTAAATACAATGGAGACAGTCAGGTACTATCAAGATGAAGGCTAGCAAGATTGACACAGATAGGATCCAACAATCATGTCTAACAGTTATGTTGGTTAAGGCAGGCATACTCTAATGCAGGCCTTTTGCACCAGGTTTGCATAGTATGTTTCCGTTCAAGAAAGACAGGCTTGAATAGTATATTATATTAAGATGTTCTGTAATACTGTGGCTGGCCTGCCAGTGGAATATTCATGGATTTTTTTTTAATATCCTTGGTATTCTTTTTCATCATAAAAAAGGATTTTTTTTTAAATTTTTGTAAAATGGTCTGCCTCTTTCTCACAGCATGAAGCAAGCAGGAACTCAATATATTTCTGAGCCTACATTAATTGTATAATCCAAAAATGAAGTGTCACCAGGGTTCCCAGTTACCTAATACACTTTTGAAAATTTTACCTAGACAGTCTTATAACTAAAGGTCTCAGAAAAAGGCACAGACAAGCTTATAAATAAGGATATTTTACATTAAAAAAACTTCATAGGAAATTTAGACTGCTAAGAGTGACTAATGGTTCTTCTGATACTGAAGAACCTAATTTTCTTCACTGAGCATTTTCATCAACTTCATTTTGCATTTTAATGAACAGATTCTCACCCAAACAAAAATGGCTGGACTTAGTTATGTTCACATACAGAAGCACAACAGCCCAAGGTAACTTGTTGTGGATGCAACTAATATTTTAGATGACTGAAATCAATGTGCCTTACAAAAACAGGTACTTCACTAAGTCTTACAATATCAAATTGTAGGCACACTAGTAAGTAAGATACAAAAAACCCAACTGAATGCAAAACAGCAAAGATTTTACTAGAAAAAGTGAGGGTACAACGTGGAAGGAAACCATTGAACTAAAAATGAGATTAAGATTGGAGTTCCTTTCAAATCATTGTGAGAAATGACATTGTAGCAAAAATAAACAAAAAGCCCTGGATCATAAATATGCTTGATGTTGGTTAAAAAAAGAATGAAATTGGAACTAGTATCAGTACAGAGTAAAATTAGAATATTATATTACATGAACTGAATAGCTTCGAGAACCAAAGTGATAGTAATGATAAAACACAATAGCACAAAGGCATGGTCAAGCATTCTGGGATGAGGACAAATTTCTACTGTAATTCTACTAGCGAATCATGAAGTCAAAATAATAGAACAGGAGAATGACTTGGATGTATTAATCAATTGGGATGAATACAAACTGTCAAAGAGCTACAGCTGTCAAAAAGGCACATGCAATTTGGCTATATCAAGGGACAAATTTTCAGTAGAGAAGGGGATGTTTTACAAGAAACTGGTAAAATCTCATCCAGAGCTCTGTGAATAGTTCTGGTCACCTGTGTTAAAAAATTCATGCTTTAAGCTCCAACATGTGCAGGGGAAGGCTACAAGAATAACCACAGAAGTGAGCAGAGGACAGTATAAAGAGGATACCAATGGAGGCTTCTTTAATTAGCCTAGTAACATGAAAGCTGAGAGGTAGTTAGTACTCTCTGTAAACAAACCAGGGATGTAAGAAAAGGGAAGGAGAAAAACTTAAGCTATAGGCAACACTGGCACACAAGAAGTGGGAATTAACAAGCAATGCTGGGAACTGGAAGCCTTCATCATCAAGTGGACAATATGCTGAATGGTTTTTGCTAGCAGTAGTCAAGGCAAGGAACATCACAAGAGTAAGTTGCTTTTTTTGTTTGGTTATAAACAGTATAAACAGTAATCTGTTGCTGAAAGCCAGAAGATCTCAGAAATCTTTTTATTCTATAGGCCTGTGCCTTACTCACATTCCAAGCTCACATACAACCTTTTTGACTGCCATTTCTTTCACATCTTTTCATACATACAGTGTGGAAAACCATTTGCACACACTTGCCTACAAAACCTCCTTACTCTAAGGTATTCCTCAGCCTGAAGACTCCAGCTGAAAAGCTAAAATACCAATGTTTTCTGACCTGCTAGTGCACCTAGAGGTGGAGAGGCAGTTTTGTCAGGCTATCCAGTAAACAAAAACTTAGGGTATTTCTGATGTCTGCAAGACATTCCAAAGCAGCAGCACCAGACAACTTTATAATTCATGCTGTTTTGCATAATTAACCAATTTGCCAATTCCAGCTTCTTCTCCCCATCCTTATATTGTAATCCCACAGAAAGCCAGTAATAAACTAACAGCTGCTCTGTAATGCAATGTAGCACAAACTAAATAATCGAGCCAAGCACTCTAACCACACTATTTAATATAAGCAAGCACCTGGCAATGTGAGCACCTTATGTAAGGATTTCAATCTTTCAAGAAATGCAACTTTGTCATGCAATGTGTCATTACACTCAAAGACTGCATCATACTGATAAGAAATGTCATTATTTAAATGCTAAAAAGATAATGCATTTTAAAAATAAGGCCCCAGTTTAAAGATATAAAATAAATTAGGGTTCATAGAAGTTGTAACATGTGAAAAGAGTGTACTAGCTGTTTAGTAACTTTTCACAATTAGAAGTAGCTGAGATCATGCAACCCAACAATTGCAGGGACCTGACAAAAGCTTGAAATGTGCTTTTGGAATCTGTATCATGTTGAAGTATGTTCAATTTAGTCCATATGCTAGATCTGTAAGACCTATTTGAACCTACACATAGCAACCTAGCAGGGCACCTATTTTTTTCAAACAGGGGGGCAGCAGACAGTAAAAACACTACTTGTTCTACTCAGACGTTGAACATTATCTTAATGAAGAGTATTCTGCTATGAAAGAATGTCCAGAAATTCAAGCAGACTAGCAATAGTCTTCCTCTAATATGACCTTGATTCATCTAGCACCTTAGCTATTTGCATTCATCTGGCTAGTTTATGAACGTGCATCCAGCAAGACAGATGCGTAGGCAAATCCTGAATCCCTAGTGTCCAGACTCTTCAAAATTCTCTACCCACTTATTTGTAAAAAAGCAATTCTAGGACAGTGACGATACAGGTGCAAGACTATACTACTTAAAACTGTGCAGATTGTACCATCAAACTAGTATGTATTTTTGCATTTTAAAAGTGGATGACAATAGAATTGAACATAACTAAACACAGAAGTGTATGCTTAGTTATGAATGCGAGCTATATGAACCACTGATACAAACACAATCCTCTTTATGTGCTGCCCAGGGCCGGCAGGAAAGGTGATGAGCTCTTTACCTAGTGATGGGGAGGTATTTTCATTCTGTATGAAAACAGGATAGATTATTTCATGTCTAATCCTGTATTAGGCCTAAACATCACTTAAATTGTGCAACTTGTTTTCCCAATTCCCACCACTGTTATATTATTGTTATATTATTCAGTTACTTTTCCTTCCAGTTCGCTAGAGCTTGTGCTTGCAGATAGTGTGCTAACACACTAATATTAATTACTGCTGCTATTGAAAGTTCACTGCCCATTTCTGTAGGCACTTGAAGACAAATTTAGCTTGGGCAACTATGGTTTCTGTACATTATGCCCTTGCTAGCTTGGTTTACCCCCTTTCAGCTAATTCAGTCTCTAAATTCATACTCTTCCTTCTAATGAAAAAATCCTAACCAGGGTACACATCATTCATTTTTAATAAAGCATAACTCTCTCCATCTAATATGTGGTTCAGCCGGATGCATGCATACAATAAAAAGAAAACCATGTAAAGGAAGGTAATCAGGGAGGGAAAATTGAATGTAAATACCAAGTCAACACAACCAAGAAGGTAATTTGGAAGGGAAAGTCTTCCTTGCTGCTTTAAGAGCAACATTCCTGGGGAAAAGTACCAGCTTGCTTCTCTTTCAGGATCAGGTATACACTTAGAAGTCTCTCTACATGGATGATATTGATTTGGAGGCATTCCTTATGTAATGGCCATCTGTAATGTTATAATTAGACTGTGCAGCATACATGCTGGATTCCTTTCCAACTCTGCTAGCATGCAGACCTTCACCTATAACCAGAACATGAGGAATCTTTGGCGATTATCTTTCATTGAGAGATTTATCCTTTCAGGTAAAACAACATTCTCTGCTTAAACATATTTAGTCTTCTTTGGAAGTATACAATAATGTCAGCAGACACCAGCATTTCCACTGGTTCTCTAAAAATCACATATTTGATAACAAATATTTGATTAATGAAGTTATTTGATTCATTAACATTATGAAGGATTCCATGTCAACAAATGAAGAAGATATAATAATAATTTAAAATGTTTTCCTTAGAATTTGTCACTTTAAAGTTACCTTTCAAAAGTAACACCATTGCTAATTTTTGATTTCACTGTCATTTTTCCTTCTGATGCTAATCTGAGGAAGACATTCCTTTTAGAACTACAAAAAGACAACATGTGATTTTCCTATTGTATGTTTTGTCCATTAGGTTTGAAACAGATCGAGAAAAGGGATTTTATTTTAATGGTATAGTCTTTGAAAAGAAGTGATGATTGAGGAAAATGGCTAAAATAATAGAGCAAACTTCTAAATCAAATGTGACACTGAAAATCTAATGATTCTCAGTGTAGCTCTTTCCCTAAATTCCTAAAGCATATCCCACATCTGTGGATAGAAAACATGAAAATAACAATGCAAGAGAATGTAACTAAAAAAATTAGTATTTACACAAGATGAAAAACCACAAGGTTAAAAATAAAGGCTATACATGTGCTCTGCTCTATGGAAATCCAACTAGGCACTTACAATTATTTAAATCACAGTATGGATCTGTTGGGTATCAGGAGCTATGATATTCACCCTCTGGTGGTTTCTTCCATGTGCTTCAATTTCTCAGTGACATAAAAACTGTGTAATACAACCACAAGACAGCTTTATCATATCACAGCATCTGTTAAAACTGTCCAAGTTATTAATATCCACTACCTACTGGTGACTGCATATGGACAATCTCAGACCAGCTGCCTAAAAATATGTATCCACACCCTATGACGACTGCCTTTTTTTGTTCTCTTTTTCTAAGTGTAATTTGTTCTGTCCAAAATTCATACTTGAAACACTCCAGCAAAATGTTCTGAGAAACTGGCTACATCTGCAATTGCACTGCAATTTTCAAGTTTCAGTGCTTTCCTCAAGATACCTAAGTATATACCACATAATGTATATCACTTCAACACTCAGCTTAAATAAATATTACTTTTAGATGAAGTTATGGCACAGGTAAAATGACAATTTGTTACAAACAATAGGAACACACAGCAAAGTACCCTGGTCTACTGCTATTCTACCCAAAGCAATTGCTCAGTAACTCAGCACAAGCCCATGACCACAAAAAATTCATAACGTCTTCTCCAAGACCAACATGAATACCTGTGGTAGAGTTCAACTTGCAATTACTACATAGATCATAGTTCAATATTTAGCTTGAAATAAAACATATATTAATTCCACTCTTTCTTTGCAATACTCATTTTCCTCAACTGGAATACAAAAGGACAAAATCTCATCTCAGAAGCAGAAAAGCTACTCCAAACAGCACTAGCTTAGAGCACAGAAAATCACTAGGCAGAGTAGGCCCCCAAGACAACACCCAGAAGCACAGGAAGCATCAGTACACCTCCCTCACTGGGATGAGGCAGTTGTGTAGACAGCAAGATGCTTCCTACAGTGACTGACCAGGACTATCCCTCTGAGGTAAAGACTGGAGTGATACTTTGGAGATAGCAGAGAATGGAGATGAACAGCACATTGCTAACAGCATCCAGACCAGTAACCTTAAATCACAGCCCTTGATGGAGATTACTGCCATGTGATAACAAATGCCAAAACAAAGGTATACTGCACAATACAAAACAAATTAATTCAATACCCCCTGCTTTCTGGATGCTTCTAAGAAAGTCTTCCCTCCTACGATTCTTCCTTTTGAAAACATAAGCATCACAATTATTTTTCCTCCCTACATTTCATATTAAATTTAACTTGGAAGACATGAAATTTGACTAGGAGCACCAAACTGTTCCTTAGAGAAAAACTAACTAAACAAAAAAAAAAAAAAAAAAAAAAAAAAAAAAAAAAACCAACAAAAAAAAACCCCTAAAAAATAAAAATCATGTGACATGGCATTAAATTCCAACAAATAAATCATTAAAAAGAAGATAGGCTGGAATAAGATGCATGACAAGAACACTATATAATTACAATCAGTATTGTATTGCAAATCGGGTATTCTTGCTGCATTTCAGAAATCTATCTAATAGTTTATTATACATTCTTAGTAACACTGTTAATAACAGCATTGTGGAAGTTAAAGCTATAATTCTAAAATGTACACATGAAAGTAAAAAAAAAAAAAAGAAAAGAAAAAAAAAGCCCTTTTCCTTTGATTATTAAGCTTATGAAGTATTTTTAATATTTTATTCTCCTTGCAAAATTTCATTAAGTATTTCCTCTCCCACTTTTTATAGAAACTGTGAAAAACTTCAAAGAAATATGAAAGCTTCAATGGACATGAAATATAGCTGTGTTCTTTCAAACAGAGTTCTGAAACTAATTAAGCTGAAATACTGTAAAAGATGCTACAATAGGAAAAAGCTGATGAACTTATAACTGCATTTCTGCTGGGTTTGCTGTGGGTGAATATTTTTTCCCACATAGCAGCCACTGCTTGCAGGCATTTAGAAATTTGTTAAAATAATTGGGAGAATTAAGTAGGCCACTGTATGCATTTGTGAAAAGCAGACACAAAGATAAGAAGCTTAGGTGTGTGTTGCTAAACCACACAGCTAAAAGTGGCATTGCTTCATATACTACTGCTTTGCTTCTGGAGTCAGTGCAGACACTGAAGCTTTACTTTGATAAGAAACCAAATTTTAATTCTGCTTTACATATCTTAAATAGAAGCATTTTAAATGCATAATTCTTTCTTTTTCCTATATTTAATGGTTCTAGATAATAAAAGTCCACTTTCTACTGCTTTACCACCTGTGGGTTTGTGACAGCAATGGCTGAAACAAGGAGAAAAAACATTTGTCTGAAAAAGGCATTAATGAAACAGCAGACAGTTCTTCACTTGCACAAAGGTGAAAGTATGAATACCAGTTTTCCAGACTAAAACTGCCCCTTTCATCTGCAAATAATTAGGTACACTAAAGTCAATGGGTTGTATGTGCAGTTTTCTTTATGTGTTGTTCAGTACATCCCATGTGCAGTTCAAAATTACAGTATGTAAGAAATCCCTCATACCTAAACCAGTTTTACAGTTCCCAAGGTTAAACCCAAATAAATGCAAGTACAAGAAAGTAGAAGAAACCAGACAATGGATACTTGTTGGGTTTATGACAGCCACATATGCTGTGAACTCCCACTTTGATCTGAACATTAGCGTTGTTTAAGATTTGTTTTCACTTTCTAAAAAATGGTAATACTGAGTGATTTATTACTTATTTTTCAAGGAAGATGGTGGGGGTCTATTTTCTCAATACTGTCTCGACACATTACTATAAATTTACTTATTTTAAAAAGACTACATTATCCACAGGAACAGATTTTTACATGTAGATTATTTGCACTTTAAATATCATTGTTTAAAATTGTAAATAAAAAATAAAGAATGGTTGCATATCTATCCAGGTATGTTTCAGTATTTTATTCAACTTCCAGACATTACAATGCTCAATTGATCAAACATTTATTAATAGATGTTATAAACAATTTATTTCTTTCTTGAATCAACTCTGAGACAACATGCAAATACAATCTCTGATCTAAAAGTTTCAACCTTTTAAAAACATGGAACTAATCCTCATCTCAATTCTACCATTTTTTATCCACCATTCTCTTCATAAAAGAAAAGATTCTGTATTTCCCAGCAAATAACTACTCCTTATGAATAATCCAGTTATAGCTATGTGGATGTCAACATTAAACTGCAAACAAGTATGCAGGTTGTCATCTTTCTATCCGGCAAACATGGTAAAGGCTCTCCTTTTGAGTAAGAAAAGGAACTTAGGTTTCAGTTAAAAAAGAGAGCACCCCTTTTCAGACTAAATGAAATCTAAGATTTTCACATGAAACCTGTGAGAATAAAGGCAAATTGAAAAATTCATGTTAAAACCACCAAAGCTTGTAGCGCTATAAGCACTTAATGCAAGTATTGCATGGTTTCCCAAAATCATGTCTTCTCACATTGAGCTGTAAAGTGCAAGCACTGAACAAATATCAAATTAGGGCAAAATATTCCAGGATTCTCAGATGCAGTGTTTTTCAGAAATGTCTCCAAACCGAAATGTAGCAAAAGGAAGTAAAAGACCAGTGATGCAGATGTTGCTTTAGTCCTCAATGTCCAAACACCTTTCATATGGTTGTTTTTTTTTTTTTTTAAAGTTCTTCAATAATGCAATATTACAGCAAATATGGGAAAAAAACTACTTTTATCTTGTAAAAACTTCAAGCTCAGCATAACAAATTCATAAGAAAGACCAAGTCTGATCATAAACACCATTACTGCCTTCATTTTTAGATTTTGTTTTATAATCATTCCATCAGTTTATACAAAAACAAGCTTTAGCACTTAGAGAAAAACTTGTGAGGAACCACTTGTATACTTGTTCCTCTTACCTTACAGCTCTTTTCACCCTACAGTTAATCAAAGTCAAGACACTTCTAACATGCACAATTGATACACCTGAACTTTACAACTAACGAACTGACTGGTAGTGTGCTTATAGTATCCTATGATCTACTAAGTTTGTCTTTAAGAATAAATGGGGTTCTACAACTTGTCCTTGGTGCTTCTAGATTTGTCAACCACCCCAGTAACACCAATAAGGTATCAGCTCATACTTTTCCTTTAAAACCTCTGGTGGTAATTAAAACAACTCCTGATTTACAGTCTAATTAAGAAGATAATGGGATAATAAAAGTTCTATTTAAAAAGCTTAACATTTTCAGTCTAATCTCTCATGTTACTTAGCAGACTGCACTGCCAACCTTTATTATTGGCTCTTGCATACTTGTTTCTATAGGTTCCTTTCCTGGTGGAGAAGTAGCTTATTTTTTTAACCTCCTGAAGCAAGAAAATAAAAATAATGCTGAGGCTCAGTGGTATGTCTAATTCTGGTTTGGCATCTTTTAGTTTTCTTAAAAAGCATTACTGAGTATTTTGCAGTGGATTAAGACACACAGTAGGCAAATGACACCCAGTATTGTAACAGGAGAAGCTTTGTAGGTCATCTGTTACAAAAACTTGCTCCCTTTTGCTCATTGTGTCTTCTTCCACTCTATCCACCACAGCTCTGCACAAGTCTTCCAAGGTATCACTGGGTCAGTCAGCACACATTACAGCCTTGTACAGACCTGTATGCTTTATGGAGTATCATCCTAATGAGGAGTTGGCATCTGTAATGCCTTTATTACAGTAACAGAAATGAGTTTTTGCACTTACATATTTTCTTCAAAATCACATTAAAAAAAATCTGTTTTCGCTTGTTGCAGCAGGGGAATACAGTCAGCCTCTTTGCAGTTGCATTAGTTTAAATGCAGAATGAGAATTTATGTCTACTCAACTAATTACATTAACCCATTATTCAACAAAGTGATCTCTGTGGACTCCTTACAGAAAATCATGCAGGGAAAATCCTAAAATATAGCAGAAGAGAATTCCCAGTGGTTTCCTCTACAGTTAATTCAATGCATAATTAGTGAAATTGATTACTTATCAAGTCATGGCTCACCTTGCTGCACAAAGACCAATTTTGACATTCTCAATTCAAATAATTCAGTGTTTTCATTATTTCAGGTTTGTGTTGGAAAAATAAGCTGAAATGGCCAGAGGTTCAGGGTAAAATTTATGAAGCCGGAACAAGTAATAGAATCTCAATGAAATATCAAATTTTCAGAGCTAAAATTATTTTATCAAAAGGCCATAACTGAATCTGACAGCCTAGACACTACTTTAGAAATCATCACCTAGATTTCAAGTGATAAGCAGGTTAAAATAACAAACACAAATAAACAAATAGTGGACATTTGGGACAACAATTCAAAATTGCTTTCTCTAAGAGTCAGTTCTCCTGTTTTGTCTTTGTCCTGCTTTGTCTGAAGGACAGAAACAATCATAATTGTAGAGCTCTAATTTTCAAGTGCAAAATTAATTCAGTGTGTTCTATCCCACAGCAGCATGTTCTGGAGTATTTTCAGGTAGTATTATCAAAGTAATCTGCTTGCTGCTGATTTAACTCTGAAAGCAGCTGATGGTAAGTTCCATCAATATGTAAATTAAGGAGTAAGACAAGTTTACAACCAATGAAAAATTACAAAGTCAAAGCTCCAGAACCTACTCTCCTTATAGGACAAGAGGAGAGAAAAAAAAAGAATCAGTATATATCTATCCTCTGCTGTAACAATCTATCTATTCTCAATGCAATGTAAAACCACTAAACAATAGCAGGCTATCACCCAGCGCTCCCCAAGTGCTGTCCACAATTTGTCACACTGTAAGCCTATTGAAGTGGCAATTTTTCTTCTGCAAATGGATCATCACTATTGCCCAATTGCCAGTGAAATCTGAACTCACAACTCACAATCTTCCTCTTCAAGACACAATCTCAGTTAACACCACCACTACCACAGTCTAGCCATTAACTGTGATCTATGCCCACCTACAACAGAAGAAAAAACACAGAAAAAACACTTTCGAAACACATATGTGTACTAACGATTTGCTATCATATACTGTGGAGATCAAATTTTATTCTGACTTGCAGGCTTCTCCCAAGGCCAAAGCAGTGTTTTAAGTGGATACAGTAGCCTGCATACAGAACACTTATTTACTGTCCACTCTTCACCTTCTCTTCTTGAACATTTTGTCTGATCTGCTGCTTCAAGGAAAAAACCCCTGAAGGCAGGCTAACACAAGCACTGAGTATAGTTGGCTTTTTACAAAAAAAACATCATGTGCCAAAACCACTATTACAGATGAATGGTGGGCCAATTTTTTGTTCTTGGAGAGAAGACAGGGAGAAAGAAGGAAATATATTTTCTTTTTTTTTAAATTACAGCTCTTGAAAACCAAAACACACATATGAAATCACAAACTTCATAACCACAAGTAAACAATTCATATTGCAAGCCACTTTGGTATCTGACGAGGATTATCAGACTACTGTTGCTCTACCTTTAGAGCATCACAGATGTAGGATGGTCAGACAGTACTAAAGAACTTTTGATACAGTCATTTTCTTTGCAAAATAGCACATAGATAATTTTAAGCATCACTAATGTTCAAATGTTGCCACTAGGGAAAGCAGAAACACTTTGCTCCATTTTGTTCCTTCAGTGTGCTTTTGCTGAAAAAAAATAGTTTAAATTTTATCTCTAATATAATATACTAGGATAAGCATAGCTTGACCTTTTCTCACCATTTTCATCACATGCTTCACTCGTGTGAAAAAGCTCAATTTTCTTAATCTAGGTCTCTGCACTTTTTCTCCTCTTAGACCTATTTGGAGTTGTGAAGATGTCCATTTCCCACTTAAGCCTTCTATTTTATGGTACTGCTCTATTTCTAAGACTTAAATGTTTCAGTCAACATGAGGCATTATGGTAGAAAATAATTGTGATCTGCTCCTCTGTGTTGCTTAAGAAAGGAAAAAGGAAAGTTGTATAGCAGTTTGGCAGCCTTGCTGGCTGTGAAATGTCATTAAGTAGGAGATGGCAAGTTTTATCCACGCACCTCTGACTACTAAATTCACAAAACAAACAGAAGGTTTACCATGGGAGGTAGAGAGAAACCAGGCAATATCCTCAAGTTGCTCTTCCAGTTAAACAGCGCGTGGTTACTAAAATTGCTATGGGAACATGGGAGTTCTTCAGAAACACAATTTTAGATCTAAAATGTTCCTTAACCTTTTACATTACGACTACTACTACAAAAAAAGAAAAAAAACCCAAGGTGTAAATCCTTATGCTCATACACCAGAAAAAACTAAGATATAGTTCTGAAACAATGTAATGATAAAATATTTTATGCAACCTTATTTGCTAAGCTGTAGTATTTGATTTAGGAAAGAAAATCTCCATATGTGCCCTACAGTGATACACTTCACTTGATTTTAACACATTCTCTAATTGCTACTGAAAAAAAGAGGCCACAGCAAAAAGATAAACAAGAGACAACTGTTTTCTTTAGAGTCAGTGCTGCATGCAATTATTCTGTTCAATGGACTACTCCTATGATTTTGGATAGAAGTAACATTATATTCAGGTATCTCCATAGTGCACAACAATTCTGCTCCAACTTCCATCCATGTTTTAAGATTCATTGATTATCAAACTGTATTATTAAAAAAAATCCTTTAGGCAAAAATACCTGTTAGACCAGAATTTATATTAGTGCCTGCAACATTACTCACAGTTCCACTAAATCACAATGTCCTGTTCACAAATATTGAAATTTGGGAAACAAGGGCTTATTCCTTCTAAACACCAATTTAAAAGTATCTTTCAGGACAAAGCCATACAGTATTCCTCAACAGACAGCTATAAAACCACCTCCACAAATATATTTAGCTTGTGTACCATGTTCATAGTAACTGTTGTACTGAGTTCTCTGATTCCTGCAAAGATGCTGAAATGTGGTCCAGAAATGAATATAAATGCCAATTATTAAAACCGACGTGTCAAATGCAGAATTCAGCTTACTCAGGTTATTTGGATTATCAAAACCTGGCCTCTCAAAATACAAATTAGGTATTCCAAACTAAATATAGAAGCAAGAAAGAAAAAGGTACTTGTTTTCCACGTAGTATATTTCTTCTTGCTGCCATTTACCCTACAAAGACTGTCCTTTAAAGTGACATGGGCAAACAGGAGAGGTTATTTAAAATTTTATGGCTTTTCCAAGGTCATGGGTATCATGGACACAATGTAATAAACAAGATCAGTTGGACTGATGAAGCATAAGGAATTAAATAATCCCTTGCTCATAAAAAAATTTAATCAAGAAAAAGTAAATAACATGCTTTTTACTTTCAACAAGCAAGCTATCCATCAAATTATGATGTCAAAAAATTACTAGAATAATACATAATATATCCTGTTAAGAGTATCTGTAATAAATTATTCAAATAATAATATGTCTACAAGTCAAAGACCTGAAAGACGGGACTATTAGGTTAAATCTAGTCTAAAAATTTTGTCTAGTTTTCACTTTTGTCAGAAGTTACCACAACTCACATGCCACAAGAAGCTGTAAAAAAGCTCCTGCACAAATGGCCACTGTAAATGCAAATTTTAGAGAAAGCAAAGCAACACACCCCAGTGGTTTTAAGATTACTTTAGATTATCCACTTCTATAAGACCTTACTTACAACATATAGCCCCAGTGAGATGCAAATCTAGAGTTTTATTTACACTGTTTCAATTGTGCCATAAACATCATGCCTGTCAAAATCCACTCCATTACTCCCCCACCATGTTGTACTGCATGTCATATTTGCACTGCTAAAAGTAAAACAAATGAGTAAGCTGCGATAATGCAGTCCAGACCTAAAAAATGGTTACAGCACAGGATTAAAGACAATAAAAGCATGTGTGAAATTCTTATTTTAAGCGGCCATGCCTCAGATATAATTACTACTTCTAAGAATCTGTCAGTATAAGTATAGTTCAGAGTCCATCAACTGTTACAAAACACATCACAAATATCCTTGTTCCCTTCTGTTCACAAGAAGTAGAATTAAAGCACCCCACTTCCCAGTAGAAAGTGCTTGGGCTCTATTCCTGAACTTACAACCAAAGTGTAGCATGATCCTTTGCTAATATTTTACTCTGTGCATTAGTCTGTTTCGGATTACAGAATTCATGTTGGGTTGGGGAATTTTTTTTTACCTTCTATCCATTTAGAAATAGGAATAATATAGCAAAATTTAATGTTAGAATCTTTGACTCTATATGAAAATACATTCTCAGAAAAAAGTGATTCCATTACTAACTCACAAGAGCATTCAGAGAGAAAAAAAAAAATCTCAATTCCTCCTTCACTGCAAAAGTTGTTTCATATGATAAAGAAAAAAAGGATTAATTTTGCATTTCCAAAACTTTTCAAAAGTCTAATTTTAGAATTTAATCAATAAAATAAACAAGACTCAAAGGGATGTAGGGCACATATTTCAGTGTGTGATTTTTTTAACTTTAAATTAAAAAAAAAATTATTAGGATAAATAAGTAAAGAAAGCAACAGCATTACTATTGCCACTACATATTGTAACAAGCACAATATACCTTTACCATCAGCAAGCATTGCATGTTAGGATGAGCACCTTCCACTGGCAGATTACCATAAAAAAACAAAAAACAAGCAAAATCCTGCTTCCACGCTTAGCCTAATAATAATCAGTATTTTTAATTCTATGATACACTCTCTAAAAACTTTTTTTATTAACTATAGCAATGTAACATTTTACTACCATCTTTCTGTTCCTTAAACTTTCTGAAAACTAAATGTGAATTCAGTCCAACAATTGGCTTGTACATTTTTTGTTTCACAAACACCTTCAGTAGGTTTAAAAATTGATCCTACATACACCACCCAGCAATGTCACAGAAACATAACCATGCACCATTCCACATTCCTCAGCAAGATGCCCAGCCTCTCCACCCTCACACACTGCTCTCAAGCTGGTGGTGTTTGCAGCGGACTGAAAGAAGTGCATATTTTGGCTGCACCTCTAAGGGAAACTCCATTAGCACATTCCTGACACCTGAGTTGCTTGTGGAGGCACTGCGGACGCACAGGTGCAGTGCCAGGTGCCACAGGATGTGCTAAACTGCACATCCCACCCATGGCTCCAGCAGCCAGCCGTGTTTGCTGAGCAGCCCTGAGCCGGCAGTGCAGCACAGGCGTGTGTCCGCCCCACGACACACGCCAGCTTGGGTGCAGGTGGTAACTGGGTACACAGCTTGTCATACTGAAGTACAGTAAAGATGCAATTTTAGCAGCCAGTGGATTAAAATAAGGAACACTGCTGTTCATTACTTGTGAAAAAGAGAGACAAAGCTATGTAGAATACAAAACTTCCACAGCATTTCCACAATTTTTCTAGAGAGCACTAGCATCGTATTAAAATTATCATCTAAAGAAAGCAGCAGAGAGAATTCAAGGCGTAACAGTAAACAAATTAGAACACTGATATGAGGAAATATGAAAGTGCTGGACTAAAATCAGTAACTACCTTTAGCAGCAGCCTGAAGTAACATTTTCAATTGTGGCAAAAATCTGCTATTTTTAAGTACAACAAAAATGGATCATGGCTGCAAGGAATTTACAAATGCTTATCTTATTTACACCCAAAGTAACAAGTTAAAATAAATATACCACTAATTTCAGACCTTCCAAGGAAAATTAATCATATAAGTTACCTATTACAACAATGTATTTTCTCCACACAGAACACTGCATAGTTTAGAAAGGCCTATGCATCCAAATTAAGGTCAACATTTGAAATGTTAAAACTTTTCAGGGATGATAATTAATTAATTTTAATATTTAATCTTCATGACTCACTCATCAAATTCTACACTGTAAAATGCAGAATCAGATTACAGGCTCATAGAAGAAATAGAAAAAAGTTTCCTTGAAATGCTACTCTGCTTATTGCTACTAAACAAACTTAAATCCCTAATATTACTCTAGTAAAAATAAACTAGGTCCATAATCATAGAGAGTCACAAGAGATCAGAACCCAGGTCTCAAACTGTTTGTTTTGTAAACTACAAGCCATGCCCAGAGTAACTGCAACCACAAATATGGGATACCACAGAATTTGCACTCTAAGCACAGAACAACTATTACCTTTGTCCTTTATCCTTTAGGTAGATAGGTTCTACCTAATTTTGGCCCTCATCCTTGTCAAACTGCTCCTTATTTTGCATGTTTCACATAATTACAATAATGCCAGGCTATGCTAACTATCATACTACTGATTAATGTCTGACATAGGTCCCAAGTCTGCCAGGTTATAAGCTACTTGCAATTTTCCATTATCTAATAGAGACTGAGTGATTTTTAATGAGAATCAATTACATTGAAGAACTCACCTGCAATACTACAGGTTGGAGTTTTTTTTTTACATCACCCATTAAGCAGCATTTCTAATGAAAATTCAGTTGGACATTTAACATGAAACTCAAAATGGAAAATGTGACCAACTGACTAGTACAGCATGGTTTTTAGAAAGAGTCAGAACAAATTAGGAACCTTCCACAAAAGGTTCGTCTTTGGAACCCACACACTCTATCTCACTTTTCTTGTTTAAGCAAACTGAGCAGATTAAATATAAAATTAGCATTAATATCTGCAGTGTCTTTTTCAGGGTTCTTTAGAAGTCTATTTACATTTTCAGAAGTGAAATCTCTGCATAACTGCAGAATAATTTACCTTGAAAACCGGCCTCAGAAGCCATCTGGCCCAACCATCCCTACATTCCCTGCTCAAAGCAGGGATACCTCTCCAAGTCCAAGTATATTGCTTTACAGAGAATTTTCAACATACACCCCACAAGTGTCTCCTTCTCACATCTCAGCTGAGGACAGAAGTTTCACAGTGTGAAAATTTCAAATTTCAAGTTTGAAAAGTTTGAAACCATTTCTTCCAAACCATACTTAGCCGTTTCCAGTGATGTTCTCTGTTTTTTTCCCCTCCTTGAAAATGTTACTCAAAATACTAAAGGAATACATTGAAATCCTTTTTATAATAATCACCATAATCATAAACAAGTATCTCTTCATTTCAGTTGTAGTTTCCCTGATCATTGCAAATCTTTTCTTGAGCAGTTTTATAATTTGTTTTTATTTTTTTTATCACTGGATATATTACAAGCAAAAATAATCTCATCCATTATTTTCTTAGCTCCTTTAGATACACACCAATTATTAGCTGTGGAAACAAAGTGGTAGCCTAATTCCTGCAGCTCAAAGAGGAGTTTTGATTCTTAGCCATTCATTTCCTGCCTTGATCAATTTCATATACTTCATATCACTCTTAATCCCTTAACCAAAGTATTATGCCTTCATTTTATCTTATCTATTACTAATTTGCCAATATTTACTCTAAATGTGGTCCATATTGACATTTCCTTAATTCCCATTCTTCTTCCTCTCTTGTTTTCTCTTTCATAATGCATGCTTTTTACAACCACATAAGCTTTTCTTTCTTATCATTGCTATTTCATACCTGTACCTTTTAGGTCTACATACTTCACTTACATATCAAATTCTTCTTATTGTATTCTTTGACTTATGTTTAGACACAATGGAAAATTATTTTAAACAGGTCTTATTTTAAAGCAGCACAAAATATGTTCATCTCTAAAATTTTATACAACAGCTCTTTTAAAGTGAATTGTTTAGGGTATAATATTACATCATTTTACAGTTGAGCATATGAACAACACTACTAATAACAGAGAAACAATCTGATCAAATAGCACTTCAGACAAGCAAGGACAAACATGATTACAAAAAAAAAAAAGGGTGCTAAGCAATTTCCTGCATTTTTAATTTGTGGGAATTTTTAAAATACTTAGTTTTCTCTCCTTCTGATTGATTTTATTAAAAATAAATGCCAATGCATCAACTTTAAAAAATTCCATGCAAGTAATTTATCTTTCCCGCCTCTGAAAAGAACAAGTTTTAATCATCCTAATCTTTGCATTAGTAGCAATATTAAAGGGACAAACATACTTATTTAATAGCCTCACTTTTATCTACATCTGTAAAGCAGAATGATAGTCTTTATATGCCTACTAAAATATGGGACATGACTGCTAGTTTGTGAAAAAGAAGTGTTAACAGTTAAAAACAGGGCACAGCTTAAAGTTGTATTTTCTTTACTGTGTCACACCCGTCTCATGCTAACAAGTCACAACCACCTGCAAATCAGTTTATTCCTTTCAGTGCCAGTGCAATTTTTCTGTAGATTCCACCAGAAACATAAAGTTTCATAATTTCTAAAACCCTTCATGCCATCGGTTTTGTTTCATTTTCTAATTAATTTCAGGGCTCCATTTTGCACAGTGCCATTTTCCACAGCTTGACAAAAATATACAGGTGCAACTATGAGAATGTGAACTTCATTTACCCTCTACAGAAAAAAACCCATACACTTGGAGGTTTGATGTATTTAGAGGGAGAATCAACACAATTCTCAACTGCCAAAAGGAGAAAGTGGTTTGGCTTTGTTTTTATTTCCAAGGTTTCTATCTACAATCACAGTTTGTTCTACTGCTTTTGTGCTAGCCTTGAAGAATACTTGACAATTGCTGACAAAGATATCTACTTTCACACGCAAAAAAATACCACTTAAATTAGGCATCATTAAGGATTAAAAACATCTCCAATATTCTAACAAGAATAGTCAAGAAAACTGGACCCCCCAAGATAGGCTATTGTCCTTGATACCTGTTCCAGAGGTAATCTTCTCCTCATTGGTCTAGAATTTCTTGACCCATTTTGAACTAGCTTCCAGGTGCTATGCAGGCAGCAGACAGAGGAAGAGAATTGAGAGCAACACAGATTTTACTGTCACTAGCACATATACAGTCCCTTACTACTTATATATATATATAATTTTTGTTAGGAAATTATTTTATTACAATCAAAAAAAATACACAGAGAATCCTTTGGGTCACCTCACCCATCTTTCTGCTAGTATGCGTGTGTCCTATTTTATATCTAGTATATTTTATACTCCGTGGAAATGGTGGAGTTTTTTACTTTCTGTAGAGCATTCACTCACCTGTAGGAATATCAGCTATCACCTACATTATTTTATGTACCAACTTCAGAAAGTGGAGAGAAGGCAGCTAACCCCCTGTACTAAGATTCAAGGCAGGAAGGAAGCAGGATCAAGCCCTCTTCGGCTCCAAGGCACACTATCTCCAACACCTGGACTACGTACTCCCCACAGGGCCAAGAGTGTAATATTTAATGACATCAAAGCCTGATCTTAACTCAGAATGCTCATAATGATGTAGTGTTTGGGTAAAAATACAGATCCAGGAGTTCTATGACAAACCACAGGCAGAAATCAAATGATAATTTTTATACAGTTTAGGTCAATTAAACTTTAAAGGCATTTTGTGGCAAAAACTGCAAGACACTTTTCTAGCCACAAAGGCTTTCTTCTCAACACTTTTACATTCAGTAAGGATACTAGTACTCTTTAACTAAAAAAAACCCAAAAAGCAACAAATACAAATACAAACTCCCCCTACAAAAAAAGTTCTATAAAACAAAGATAAAACTCAAAAAAAACACTCATAACAAGAAACCTCAAACCCATAACTGAAGAGAGTAGTCTACTGAAAGTTTAGTAATTAGATGCAAATAAGGAAACAGTGATTCCATGTAAATGGGTACTTTCCTAAAAAAACCTTTGTTTCCACAAAGCCAAAGAATAATTTAATTTTTCATGCTCTGAGGTAATATGAAGGTATTAACACATATACAAATACAATGGCAGATTACTTTTGCACTTGTTCCAAACCGATCGCTTGAACAGCACGCTACTGGATATTGTTTCCAGTAGTAATAATGTGCAGTCTTCCTGACAATCAAACTTGCCCTACTCCCGCAACCTTTTTTGACAGAATAAAACACATATCAATTTCATGTAAGTCTGCAAATGGGATGTGCTTATCTGCATATAAAGACATATACTAAAATAATAGCACTTTGCAAAGCTATTTTTGCAATTTTATACACTGATCCATGTTTGGTCTACAATTTTTATTTCCATCTCTGTTAAATTAAAAAAAAAAAAAGAAGAAGAAAAAGGGAAAAATAAAAAGGCTAATGATGAAAGTACATTACTGAACTGCTTCATAAAACAGTGGGAAGAACAGAATTCTCTTTTTAATTTCTTTTTCCAGCATCTAAAGCTACATCACCATAAAAAGCCAGCAGTCTTTCAAGGTGGATTGGAATGTTTTGAAAACAAATTATTTTATTGAAAAGAAGGAGTTTAGAACCATTATCCACAATTTCATGCCTCACTGTAGTTTTTAAGTTACATCACTGCATATTGCATGCTCTGCATTGACAAATATATTTCATCTGTCCATCCATAAAGAACAAACACATTAGATGCCTTTTTTGAGTAATTTTGGATTTTTTTGGCGTTTTTTGTTGTCATATCCTTCTTCTGCCTTACTATTTTCACACTTCCTCAAGAGACCTGTTGTTGGTCTGTGGTTCACTGTTGGAATGCAGTCCTCCAGAGAAAACTGTTCTTATCTTCTGAAAGTAGCAAACACAATTTATTTACACATCATCCTAAACAAGCATCAAATGCCTCAATGTCAAAGTCAAGGATGATTTCAAGTGCTTTGTGACTTCCTGAAAGCCACAAAAGCATACAACTGCAGTTTGAAATGGTAATGTGAATTTAAAAGCAATTCCACTAAAAAATAAAATCAAATTATGATTGAGTTGAATTTTCAAGAGCTTTTCAGAATGACTGTTTAGTGCTTGAAAACAGAGCACTGCAATATGCTGCATAACCCTTCTCAGAGTCATCATTTTCCTCCATGATAATTATCTTCAGTTTTACTCCAAAAAACTTCTCCAGGCTCAATTCAACTTCAGGCAGCTCTCAATGAACATGCTCAATTCAACTTCAGGCAGCTCTCAATGAACATTACTTTCTTGTATTTCTGTGCTCTTCACTGCCCTTACTGTCTCCACCTCCCCATATCTGTTTCATGCATTTCTGCTCTGTGCTATTTCAAACATTTGCATTTTCAAATGTTTGCACCAGCTTGCCTGAATCTGCCTGGCTATAGTACCCTTGGCAAATTAATGCACTCCAACAGAGCAACTCCTTGCTGCTACAGCAAAATAGCTCTCCTGAAAAGGTTTACCTTTTCTTCCTGTATGGTGTCTCAAATACATCCACACTAGGAAAGAAATCAAAGACATCGATTTCAATACTAAAACCTGGCTTTTCTTCATTTCATCAGTATTACTACCAACCCATTTCGGTCCTCACAAGAAAGACTTTCATTTTCACTAAACAGGATGAAAATTCAGAAAGAGGAAACTAAAACGCTCACTCAAGAACCTGGTTGATTTTAGCATTCAAAAGTACAACAGGAATATACTGCCACTCATGAACTCTGAAATTGTGTAAAAACTGCCTAAACATCTTGCATTTATGTGACACTGTCTTTCACATCCTTTTGGAGTAAAAGATACCCTACAGCATAAGAAGGGCTCTAAGGCCTCAACCACAAAGGAAACCAATCTTATAAAATATTATAATGATATTATTACTTAATCAACCATTGTTCAACAATAAAAGAAACAGAAAAAAAACATTAAAAAATGTTAGTAGTTATATGTGGCAGCCCTTGAAAGCTTGTATTTAATTTATTAGACATAGTATCAAACTTAGGAATTCTGTCCCACTTGAATAGAAACTTTGATGTTTGAGGAATTTCAAAAATTTTTTGGAATCTGTTGCATTTCTTTGATAAGAGAACAGTGCATCTGCTCCTATGAAGATGAGATGACAGAAGAAGGAATGGGAATGTGAAGAGGCAAAGTGATCTAGAAATGACAACAACGAAGAAAACAGCTCAAGAATTGTTCCTCTGTAGCCAGAAGGGCTTTCCTGAATTTACATAAGGTTTTCTTCCTGGTTCTAACGGCATCTTCAAATAAACCTTCTCCTCCTGACTATTCTTAAGATCTTCTAACAAAAGGCACTTCCTTTCTAGTAGTAAGTTCAGGTATTTTCAGGCAGTGTTTGCCTAAAAATACACTTGTTCTTGAACAAAGATGTATTTGTTTTCACATGTGTATGGTTAGATTTTGAAATTCCTTTATTTAGGATTCAGAATAGAGGAGTAAAGATGACATGAATTTGAACTCCTCTGTGCAGTTACTGAATCCTATACTCAATTGTAGCCTGCAAAACTTCCAGAACTACAAGGTATGACGGCACATCCAAACCGCCTGTTGGCAGCCCCTGAGGTACTGTGTCCATCCTCCTGTGACTCTCCTGAAGATATATAAAGGAAAAGTTTCTTCGCTGACATGATCAGGCATCGGAATAGGCTGCCTACAGAAATGGTGGAATCACCATCCCCAAAGTGTTCAAATAGCATGTGGATGTGGCACTGGGGATATGGGTTAGCAATGCTAACTTATTGGATGGATTTGATGATCTTGAAGGTCTTTTCCTGCCTTAAGGATTACGTGATTCTTTACATTACTCCAAGTCATGAAGCAGGCAAGTCAACCCTTTAGTTTTGAAGTACCTAATCAAAGAACTGTACACCAAAAGGACAGATGTAGTAGTAGTAGAGCTCCATAGTAATCTAGATATTGGCAAGTTGCTTTGCTGTCAAATTCCCAGTCTCATAACATAACTTACTTCCAAGCATAGGTATCTCCCAACTTCTTGTTTTTGTTGACATTGCAAAAGAGGACAGAGAAATAATCTAGTATTTTTAACCTTGTTAAAAATCTGCCGCCTATACACCAGAGGTAATACAAAAAGTTGCAAATTGGATATTACTAAAAAAGAGAGACAAGCATTTTCAGTAGCTTTGGCTCTCTTTTGCCTTTTGTATTATCCTTTCATTACTCCAAGACTTCAAAATGTATTCTTAGTTACAGTATCAGTCTCAATATGGAAAAAAATGGTTTTCCTCTCTCCCTTGAAATCTCTTTCTCTTACTGTCTTGCCACTGAGTGTAGACTTCTAGAAATATGTTTTATTTCATTCGTAGTAATTTTACACAATCATACTGAACAAGATTTTCTCAGAGGATGTAGACTATGCTGTGGGTCGTGGTTTTCCTGTGAAAGAAGTCCTATTTAATGCATTTTTACCAGTGAAAAAGGTCACTTGTCATAACAGCTTTTAAAGTTTTTAAACATTCATACAAAGCCAAGTGGCACAAACTGAGATGCCACACAGTTTCAGGTACCAGACTCCTGTCATTGATAAACAACAGGAAACAAGACAAGTGAAATTTGTCTCCCTTGCATGTGATTGAGATGATGACCTACCTTCTTCCACCCGAAGCGGGACTGGAAAGGGCATCTAACACCCTTTGTTACATTGTTAGACACCTGCTTGATGTCAAATGCTCAGCGTTGATACTGTTTGACAGCATGTACTGCATATTTATTGCCTTGAGCAGCATAGATGTTAGCAACACAGGAGATGCTAACTTTCTACTCTTTCAAGAACAGACATACTATTTCTCCAGAAAGCCAGATTTGGCAATTACATTAGTTGCAAACTGACAAAAAAATTAGCAAAAGTAACAGGAACACAAGTCCAGCAATTCTGCAAAGTGGGCAATAAAATTGTTTTTAAATTCAAAACCATGCTATTAACCCCCTTGCTTGCTTGGTTTGAAACTCATTACCACAAGATTACTTTTCATGGACAGTACCATTTTGTACCAAAACTCACAAAAAAATGACTTTGAAGAACTGACAAAGGAAAAGTAA